TGTTATTCTTATTAATGACAATAAAATACACATTTTTAACATTAAATTTTTTTCGTGTCATATGCACTTTAATATGAAAACCTTCGTACCCTTAAATATATCCTGATTTGCGGTGTCTAGGTACCAGTAATCCCTGGATAAATCCGATACTCCAGTATTAACTACTTGGAATGACACGGGTAATACCTAATCCGATTGAGCACCGGTAATACCCGTGCGAAAACCCCTAAAATTGCGGTGGGATGAACAAGTCCTATACTACTTAAATAGATAAGTAAATATATAAGAAATATAAGATATATAAAAAATTCATTATTCAATAATGTAATAAAACTTAATTAATTGAATCAAAACGTAAATTCGTAATCTGATTATCAAGCTCGATCTTAAATAGAGTTCTTTTTAAGACTTTTCTTGATGAAGATTCCTTGATACTTTTATTTAATTTGTTCCACTCTTTCGCGCAGCGGACACTTATGGTGTGCCCTCCCTCTGTTTCTTTCTTGTATGTTGGACATCGGGCATTTATTTTACAGTAGCATGTTCATCTTTTATGGACTTCAGAGTTCATTYCAAAGAGATCACTGATGTAAGGAGTACAGGTCCCGTTAATCTTATCGTACACAATGGTGCATCTGTTGATGTAAGATTCTTGGCAAAAAGGCAGCCATCTTAGCTCGTTAAACAAGTCAATAGAACGGGAAGATTTATCTACATTCAAGATAATTCTTGCCGCTCTTTTTTGTTGCATAACCCTATTAATAGAGCTACTGTTACATGATGACCAAATAGTAGAGCAATACATGATAGCAGGTTTGATGAGCGTGTTGTAATATGCTTCCTTCTGTGGTTTGTTTAAGTAGGGACTGATGTGTCGAAAAAGTCCAATTTTCTTTGAAAGATTCCTACACAGATTATCAACATGGTCTTCGAAAGTCAATTTAGAGTCAAGTGTAACACCCACGAACTTTATGGCTGTTTACTTGTTTGACATCACAATTATGGATGGCAATATTGAGGTCATTGTTATTGTTGGTGAGGCGTTTCGGTAGACGTTTTCCTGTTACCAGCATTGATTTGGTTTTAGTTTCGTTGATTATCATTTTATTTTGACTGCACCAAAAAAGGATAATGTCGACATCGTCTTGAAGCGTTGCAGAGAGAGATGTAAGATTGTTCCATTTTTTACTTAACGACAACGTAACATCATCCGCGTATATATCAGCAGTGGAGCCTTGGACATGAAGTGGCAGGTCATTAATAAATACAAGGAACAAAATCGGGCCCAAAATTGAGCCCTGTGGAACGCCATGTTGTATTGGCAATAGAGAGGATGTGCAATCGTTAACCTTTAAACGTTGATTTCTTCCTACGAGGTAAGACTTAAACCATGCCAGTGATGGTGAGTTGGGAAGGTACAGGTTGAGCTTTTGAAGTATAGGACTTCGTGGTTGACCATGTCAAACGCCTTTTTGAAGTCTATGAATATGAGACCGGTCAACTTGTCGTCATCCAAATTAAATAAGATCTGGTCTGTTAACTTTATTAATACTGGTTTGGCGGAGTGGTTAGGTCTAAAACCAGACTGGAATCTGTAAATGAGGTTGTTGGATTGAAGGTAGGACCACAGTGATTTTGCAACATGTTTTTCAATAACTTTTGAGATGATAGGTAAAAGTGATAATGATATGATATGACCTTCTCGAACCCGACTACGTTTTTTCAATTAGGTGTAACTAATGATATGCATTTTTTTATGCATATCAATAACTTTCACGAATCGTACGGTTCGTGAGCCACACTGACGATCCGTATCTTTTCCACAATATTGGACATGAGTAAGGAAAGCTGCATAAAGGTAAGATCATCCTTAAATCAAGTCCTTGTTAAATGATCGGCTTGACCATAGTTAATAGAGGGGAATGGTTTCCCTTCTGCCAACTATGGCTTGACTAAGTTTTACTTTACTTTTGGATACCAATCGCTAATCTATCAAGAAAGTTTGGCAGCCACTGAATTTTCAAAGAGCAGTACTAGTCGAAAATTAATACGATGATTTTGAAAGAAAGATGAGTTGAATACTTTAGCACAAAAGATCAATCCCTTTATATGAAAATGTACCCTGAAACAACCTCTGACCCGACCAGGCAAAGTTTTGAGAAGAGAGAGAAACAAGAAAATCCAGAGAAGCAAATCATCTCTACGCACATGAGCATCGAGTCCGGTCCAGTCATCCGCGTCCTAGTGCTATTTTGAAATTAAATCCATTGGAATTGAATTGGCAATTTGCCTTACAAATGGCAGCCTTTACGACTCAAAGTGCCGGCTATGACCCCTAACTCAATATTTTCAGCATTGAYTCTACATGAAGTGAATAGTCGAATGGTGAAATATTTTTATATGATTTGAGTGATGCATCTTGGAATATCAAGGTTTATACTTCCAGTATGCTAATGATGTGATGTCTCCGGTGGCCCATAACTGTCTGACGGCAAATCAAAATTCACACGCCCTGGTTCACACGGCACTACAAAAAATATTCACGGCAAAATGACCAATTGTCACGGCACTACACAATTTCACTTACGGCAAAATATACAAAGCCGCAGCACAACACAGAACCGAATCCTTTCAGAGTAACACAGGGAGTACAATATTGTCGACAATATCTTCCTCTGTAGCCCCCAGTGCATGAAGCGTGATTAAATGGTGGCGCCATTTTGTACTATTTGTGGCAATGAATTAGAAGAGAAAGATCGTCGCACACGCTGTGGAAAATAGCATTTCTAAAAGAATTTCTATAAAATACTCGTACTTCCCATGTGCCATTTCGATCTCAGCTTCTATGTTTCTGAACCCGACAACGATTCTTCAATTGAGTGTATAAAATCGAGCGAAATGCTTTGAATGCTTCGAATGTCAACAAGCATAACAAGGGCGCAGGGAGCCCAATCTCCAAAAAGTGCAACAAGTACCCACGAGAGTTCGCCAAAGGCTGTTTAATTTAATCAAAACACTGATTACTATGAGAAAACAAATTTGCAATAACCTTTCTATAAACCCTTAGTAAGATTATTTAGGTTTATACAGGATATTTTACTACCCCAGTAATTATCTCCGCGTAAAATAAAGCCACTACTGCGCAGTAAAATAAAATAAAAACTGATAAAATAAAAGAATGAAACTGCTATGAATGGCTGACAAGTTAAAATTTATCTTAAATTGTTTTCAGTCTACGATTTCAAGATGGACAATCAACAAGAACCAAAGCACCAGCCAGAAAGCAGAAAAACTTTGTGTCTGTTCTTCACGTTTGGATTCTTAGAGTACCTATTGTTCAGTACAATTATAGCGAGTGCTGAAGACTTGCTGAAAGGATTCTCTTCATCAACCGGTATGTGAAACAACGAATAAGATACACAGATGAAGGTTGTTATATGAATAGTTAGTAGAGGGGGACGTGAGTCCACAACATTTTGACTGCGAGATCAGACGAAAATCATGGTAAATACCTCGGGAAAACTGGAGAAAATTGGTGAAATATAAAAAGGGGAATACAACAAACCAGCGCAGTGCCCTAGTAACCACACTAGCCATTATCGATTTTGATATCATACGGGTAGCTCTGACATTACCTTTACAATCCTGTCTCTAATTGTTCCATATTTCTCTGACCGCTTGCCTCGGTCTTACTCATCATCCTGGCTCTCTTTCCTCTAGCTATTGGAGGCTGGTTGGCTCTTTTATCCCGTGAGCTGCACGTTTTTTCACAATCATACGAATACTCTGAATACAACACTACAACATAACAACGGCTTATGACCGGGCTTACAGTACTTTGTGAAACGAAACGAAACGAAACGAAATATACGGCTTATTGTACATTGCGCAACGAATCGAAATAAAATTAGCCCTATATTTCGTTTCGTTTCGCAATGTACAATAAGACGTATATTTCGTTTCCTTCCGCAAAGTACAATAAGACGTATATTTCGTTTCGCAAAGTACTGTAAGCCCGGCCATAACAACATAAGATCAGTACACATTATCAATGATCGATTTTCTTCTAGGTATGATATGGGTAGCTCTGGCATTACCTTGTACAGTCCTGCCTACAATTGTTCCATATTTCTTTGACCGCTTGCCTCCCTTACTCTTCATCCTGGCTCTCTTTCCTCTAGCTATTGGAGGCTTATTGGCTCTTTTATTAGGTAATTCAGTGTGGTTTAAGTACCTTAGTGTTGTTTTATGTGGAGTGATTCAAAGCCTTGGTGAAGTAACTAGCGTCTCGTTAACAGCCTACTTTGATAAAGTAACGGTCAAATATTATTGCTTGGGGACTGGGTTTGGATACGTCATTGGGCCTCTTTATTATACAGGTGAGTATTGAATAACGTCACAACATAACGAATGGACTACCTTGACGATATGGCGGCCATCTTGGAGGCGCAAGACATTATGGGGCGTCCAGGGGACAAAGTAGACGCCGATTGATAATAACAGCTCGCCACAAGAAAATACAACAAAAGATGAATTAACACAGCACCTGACTTTAAGACAAACACACCAAACTCTATATATTTTCCGCCAACTTTGTTTAGTTTTGCCCCCTGGCAAGATGGCCGCCGTATCGTCGAAGTAGTCCATAAGGAGCATAGTCAAAACAATAACCCGAAATGAGGACTCTATTTTAGGGTGCGTTCATAATGTATGGCAGGGGGGCAGGTGAAATTGAGGGGGGATCGGAAAAGGAAAAATGGGGGGATGGGCAAATTTTTATCAGAAAAATGGGGGGATGCACAATTTTTGGAAGAAGCTACAAGTCTTGCTTCAGGGGGATAATATTTTTTCGCATGACTTTAAGGGGGGTGTTAAGAATTATTCTGGACATTTCAAATTTTCACCTGCCCCC